AATTTAACTCCAAAGGTCAAGGTCAAAAGTGTTGGTTACCAAAAGAAGATCTTGTGACAAGGAATACACCTGTGAAATATGAAAGCTCTCGTTCTAACTATTCAAAAGTTATGACGAAGGTTTAATACAGTTTTTAAAAAGTGGGTCAAACTCTCTTGGGTCAAGGTAAAAAATATTTATACCAGCTGAAACATGTGAAAGGTCTGGTCACAATGAATACACACGTGAAGTATAAAAGCCCTAGCTCCAACTGTACAAAAGTTATGGCCAAGGTTAAAGTGAGGTTTCTTTTTTGGTAAAAGTAGGTCAAACTCCAATCTCAAGAGGTCAAATTTGGTGGTACCCAAAAAAATGTCTTAATTGTCACAAGGAATACAGTCAATACACAGCTGTGAATAATGAAAGCCATAGTCACTCAATAGTTATGGGCTAGATTAAAGTTGACAACAGACTGACAGAGAGACAAACATATAAACAGACAGGACAAAAGCAATATACCCCCGATCTTTCGAACTCAATTTTGCTCTGGATAACAGAAGAATGAAAGCTCAAAAGGATCTCCATTTATTCATTCGTATAATGACACAAGTTCAGGAACTTAGGTAGTCTTCTCCTAATATAACATTTTGTGAAATTGCCAAAGTAAAACAAACATATATACATATGGTCTACTATATACATTGTATACATTGTAGCAATAGAAAGGAATAAATTCTTTAAATATACAAAAATAATTTAAGATGGTGAGAAAAAACTTATTTTGAAAAACGACCACATTCATTTAAGAAACTTTGAATAGTCTTAAAAAGTTCAGCATTTTGTTCGAAAGTTAAAGAATCATCGCCCCATAGCATTAAATGTACATCTATAATATGTAAATAATTTAATGACAATAGCTTATTCATTAAGGAATTTCTTGCTTTTACATAATGTTTACAAACAAAAAACAGATGATATGTATCTTCTAGTAGTCCACAAGAACAATTAGGACTGGTAATTAGGTTACAGCGATATAAATCAGACTTTAAAATACAATTGTGTCTCAATCTTGTATGAATTATGTTCAAAAACCTTTTTCCATAAGAAAAATATTTCTGAGGTTTTACATTACTATTTTGAAGATAGTTTTTGAAAATTTTAATAGAAGTTGCCTCCCTTGTTTTTAGACTAAGGGAATTCCACTTTCTAACGGTATCGGGAATAAATGATTTATTGTAGAGTTCTAATCTGTATTTTGGCAAAGAATAATTTAAAGAATTCTGGGTAGTGTATCCTGAAATATTGCCTCTTGTATCAGGTACTAAGTTTTGCAAGTAAATAGGGACTAAATTATTGTGCATTTTATACATTGTTATTACAGTCCAGTCCAATACGAAAATTCGTAATATTATGAAATAACGTAAGATTACGAAAAAGCGTAATATTACAAGTTATCGTAATATGAAACTTATATTACAATTTTTCGTAATGTAGTTAAATTACGAATACGCGTAATATAGCAGATTGTAAGAGACTATATTACGAGTTTTCGTAATCCAAGACAAATTAAAGCATAAGAAATTTAGTGGTGGAAAGCAAAGTTGACGTCAGTTATATCAGATTCCACGGCTACCGATAGCATTGTCAGTTACGCTTATCAGAAAGCATGTTTTTCTTTCATTATTCTTTTATAGGAATTTTCCCAAGGATAAGACTAATTTTCCAGTAAATTTCAATATTCGCTTAAGGATGTCGCATTGGTCTATATTCCCTACTTTTCTTGCGAAGTCTACCCTAAAAATCACACCTTCGTCTCATAATTCAACTGTTCGTGCAATTCTTATTGAAATACACAGAATTCAAATCTCAGTAAGAGTCGTACAAGTTATCGCCCGTGACATCTCGTATTAAACGTCATACTTTGCTACCCGCCACTCAATTTCTTGCAATGCTTGAATTTGTCTTGGATTACAAAATCTCGTAATATAGTCTCTTACATCTGCTATATTACGCGTATTCGTAATTTAACTACATTAAGAAAAATTGTAATATAAGTTTTAGATTACGATAACTTGTAATATTACGCTTTCTCGTAATCTTACGTTTTTTTTTCGTAATATTACGAATTTTCGTATTGGACTGGACTGTATTAGTTTTGCTCTATTTCTTCTATATTCCAGTGGTTCCCAGCCTGTTTCCAAATATAATGAATTTCTTGAAGCAATAATTGTAAGCCCAGTAACTATTCTTGCAGCATATAATTGTACTTTTTCAAGATTCTCAATGTCTGTTTTTGTGCATCCAGACCAACTTCAACAGCATATTCAAGTTGTGGACTAATAAAAGATATATACATCTGGGACAGAATATCTCTTGACACAGTAAATTTTAATTTTTTAAGAAGCCCCAATTTTTTGTATGCTTTCTTTATAATGGTATCGATCAATATAATCAGACCATCCTAAGTTAGACGACAGAAGTATCCCAAGATGTTTGTGTTCCGTAACATATTCCAATTGGCAATTGTCAAAAATTAATTTAGGAAAATGCTGTACATGTACATTTTTCAAACTAAAAAATACTGCTTTGGTTTTCTGTGGATTGAATTTCAATAACCATTTCTTTGACCATTCATCTAGAATTCTAAGATCGTGGTTAAGATTTTGTTCAATATGATTAATATTATCTGAACATTGTTGTAAAGAATTATCGTCAGCAAATAGTCTACAAACAGATATCATATTTTCAGCCACATCATAAACATACAGTAAAAATAATAGGGGACCAAGTACTGAGCCCTGAGGAACTCCAGCTTTTACTTGTCCTACAGAAGAAAAATGATTTCTATACATGACTTGTTGGGTTCTTTTGCTTAGATAACTATCAAACCAATCTAGCATATCACCATTAATTCCATACATTTTTAATTTGTAAATTAAGCCTTTATGCCAGACCCTATCAAATGCCTTTGATAAATCACAAAACACCATACAACAAAATTTACCTTCATCAACACTTTTTACTATAGAATGGTATGTTTCTAAGAGTTGATATACTGTAGAATGACCTGGTAAAAAACCTGCCTGGTATTTATAAAATATATTATGTGAATACAAGAAATTGTAAACATTCTTTCAAAAATTTTGCTTATACAACTCAGCAAAGAAACTGGTCTATAGTTTGAAGTGATGGAAGGGTCATCTTTCTTAAAAAGTGGAAGAACATGTGCTAGTTTCCAGCAGTCTGGAAATGTTTTTAGTGATAGGGATTTGTTGAATAGTATACACAAAGGTTTTGAGATAGTTTCTTTGCAAGATTTTAACATTTTATGGCTGATGCAATCAGGACCAACGGCTTTATTAACAGGAATAATAGAAATTATATCAATGATTTCTTGCTCTTGTATTTCAATGTGTGGAAAATTATCCGTACATCTTGACACTATATTTGGGAGCTCTTGATTACTGTCATCTAACTCTGTAATTGATGTGAAATATTTATTTAATAGTTCTATTTTTTCTATGTCTGAAAATGCAAAACTTTCAGTGCCATTGTTGTCTGTAAACTGAATAGGTGGAATTTCATTTGTTGGTTTAATGTGAAAAGTATCTTTCAGTAACTTCCAGTATAGTTTTTGATTGTTCAGACTAGCATCCTTAAGATGAGAATCTATATTGTCATAATAGTTTTTAATAGCATAATTTTTTTTATTTTATTTTTTTCATATTATTAAACTTATTCCTTTCTTTGCGAAAGTTTTCCTTATCAGATTCTCTTTTTGTTTTTTTGTGCTATTTTTCTTAGTCTATTGCGAATACGCAAAGTTTTCTTTTTTTAGAAGAGAGTCCATCCATAGTTTATCATTTGGCCTTATAGTAACAGTTTTTTCAGGTATGCATTGATGAATAATAGAGTTAAATTTTTCTGTGAAGTTTGTTGTTGCAGTATTAATGTTTTCTGTATCATCAATAAGGCTATTCCAGTCGCATTTTACAATAGAATCATTAAGGAGTTCTAAATCTGCTTGTTTGCTTGTTTATAGTTCCAAATTTTACGTTTATATGTCACATTTACATTTGTATTCTGGTGAATATATATATAAGTTTGCTTTATGGTCACTAACTGTATTACTAACTTGTAGTGTTCCAGAATCATGTACATGTATATTGTCACTAATAATGATAGGATCTATAAGTGTTTCTGTATCGCAAGTTATTCTTGTAGGTTCGTGTATGATATTTGTTAACCTACAGCTATTCATAGTTGTATGAATCTCATGTGAGTTGTTAACTTTTAAGAAATCAACGTTAAGATCACCAAGTACAACAATATTGTTAGAGATATCACAAGCCTTTTCAAATGACCAAGATAATTTTTGCCAAAAGACACTATTAGTATGTGGTGGACGATAAATACATCATATAAGTAGTTTTCCCTTTACTTGTGGTATTTCTATCCAAATGAGTTCTGTATCAACGGGTTCTAAATCTTCTCTTCGACTAGCCTTAATTAAATTTGAAACATAAATTATTACACCACCACCATGAGAATTACGATCTTTTCTGAAAATACACTTAAAACCTTCTATAAACAAACTTTCATTTGTAACATGTGAGTTTAAATGAGTCTCACTAAAACATAGTAAATCAAAATCTTGAACTAGATACAGCAGAGAATCAATCTTATTCCTGATGCTTCTGATATTAAGGTGCAAGATATCAAGAGAGTTTGGTGCAGATGGACCTGGGTTTGTTTCAATATCACCAGATAGCAATAGAATGACAAACATGAATAACTGTGCAAAAAAATTAATTCTGAGAGACCAGAATGACATACTGTTATAATGTTTCTTGAAGATATTGGATATGAAAAGCAAAATATCTAACAACGTAGTGGATTTTGAAACTTTGAAAGCAGACTATATTCGTATAATATAGCATGTGGACACAATCAATTATTTTCTTTTACAATTGTCCTATGGCTTCCTCTGTTACAGCTCTAAAAACTTCAAAAGTCTAAGATTAATTTAATTTTTTATTCAGGGAAGTAACATTTGATACAGCTTCTATTGGTCATCTACTTGGCTTTGTACTGAAAAAAAGATACACATATTAATACACGTTAATTTTTAACTCTGATTGATTTTTGGCGTAAAATTGATAGAAAGTGTCATCATATCAGTATTTACCCAGTGATTGATATAACCTCACCTTTTCCAGTAGCCAGGCCATGTCTCGCTGCGCCTGCTCCACGATTTGTCTGATTCTCTCGGGGTCGGTCTCATCTGAGTGACTGTTAAAGTTCTGTCAAACATAACACATAAATTAAAGTCATTTCTGGGCCTCTGTAGGTAGAAAAAAAACGTGCAAACTTGAAATACTTTGTAATGGGGTTCATTGAAAAAGAATGACGTGTTCAAGAATAAAAACGTGTGTTAGTAATATATTTCTAAGAGAAGACAAGAATGATCACATTGAGACATCTCTGTAAAATGGTGACTACTTTTACCTGCCGTACGTAATGTTTGTAATGTCCTTGACTTTCTTTAGGAAGCTTCCGGATATTCCTCAACAAAAATCGGTACAACTGTACTGGTGTCATAATGTGTCACATTTTCCTGAATATTAACTAATAATATACATACTCCATCAGTATCCCTCTACATTTCACCTTCTAGTTCTAGCAATAAGCTTGCTCACTTAACGCATGTACGGTGGGCTAAATTTGACATATTTCAAACGACCCTAGTTATATTCCATGAAAACTCTAAACATACTATACTATACATGTCTCCTCCTTTTATCATTCTTAAAAACTTATCGAGTTAAGCTTTTTTGAGTTTATAGAGACCTTTCCGCGCCATCAGCGGACTAAGTTCGTTTGGACATCAAATTAAACTTAATTACGAAGATTTTTGGATCAAAATGATCGGATTTAGCGGCTGCCCCATATACAGAATCATGCATGATGGAGATATTAATTAACTACGTGTTGCCAGGAAAGGAACGAGGAAAATAAAATCTGTATATTCATCCATAGACGTACAAAGGGTATAGGTTTGATTCGTCAGACAAAATTTAGTCTCGCTCAACCAAACTTTGTTAACCATGCAAAGCGAGCAAAGCTAGTCTGGTAACCTCGGACTCATGATACCTTTCATAATACCGAAATAAAGACGAGTAAAACCAAAGACTTCCGAGTATTCCATTCAGAAGTCTGGTTTTATCCTACATCTATAACCCCAACCAGAAATACTTGTATCTTATATAATGTCTTATACTTTGTATCGAGGTAATAATTGAGGAATATATGAGTGGTTTACAGTAAAGAGGCTCGACCAGAGACTTAATATTCTGAAACGATTTAATCATGTTAGTTGACAAGAAAAGAAGCTAGTCTCTCGAAGCGAGTGGTGTCATTTTAAAGTAGGTTAATGTTTGATATATTAACAAAATACGAGATTGAAGCGGGGGTGCCCCATATACGAAACAAGTGCCTGTGACAGGTACACTAATAATCTATGCTTGAAATCTGATAGGTGTTTATTTTTTTTTTTGTGAAGCAATTACTTTGTAATGTATCTCCTAAGAAAAACGGACATAAATGTTACAATCTGACAAGGTATTTCAAACTAAATGGAAAAATCCTATGGTTGTGTTTGTAAAATCTGACCAGTTATGGTCAGCCAACCAAATCATGGACAGTTTCGTAAAAAGGATTCCTACAGATCACACGCAAAATCCGCCCATCTTTTTTAATCATCTCCCTTTGGCCATTATATACTCAATGAATTGTCAACAGATTTTCCCGCTATTTCCCAATCATGACAAGGAGCACACGGCGGGTGTGACCGGTTGTCAGGGGATGCTCACTCTTCCATGGTTCCTGATCCCACCACTGATGTTATGGAGGTTCGTGTTTGCTTTGCTCCTATTTTGCTATCTATGGCACGCCAAATTCACAAAAAAGGCGCTAGACATAGTTTCACAGTACCTATGTTTATCGACTGTAAACTATAGTTTACAAACCTTGAACTATAGTTAACAATTCGTTAACTATAGTTTTCATCTGTAAAACTATATGTTTACCTCATTTTTGTTAATTTGGCGTGTTAACGAGCTATCCGTTTTTCTTCTGTCGTGTGTTAACATTTGAACATTTTCAGCTCCTTCTCTGCAACCGCTCAACCAATAATTTCAACCAATTTTGGCATAAAGCACCTATGGGAAAAGGGGAACAAAAATTTTGAATTTCGTGGTCCCTGTCCCCCTGGGGTCTGATTGGTGGGGCCAAAAACCACTAAAATTAATGCAATCTTTAAAAATCTTTTTTTCTCCTGGACATCAAGCAGGCAAACTGTTGGCATGAACGTAATGAGCATTGAGTCTTCTACCAAAATTGTGAAATTTATGGCCCCAGATCAGGGGTTCCAGTGCTAGGGCGGAGCTATATAGATTATATAGTTAAAATGCATTATTTCTTAGAAAATCTTCTTCTCTGCTTCTGGGTGTTAAATAAACGAACTAAGCACATAATTATGATGAGCAAGAATGCCGCATCCAGAATTGTGAATTTTATGGCCCCGGGGTCAGGGGTTCTGATGTTCGGGCGGGGTTCTATTGATCATATAGTGAAAATACATTAATTCTTTGAAAATCTTCTTCACTGCTACTGGGTATCAAAAAAACTAACTAAGTACATAGTTATGATGAGCAAGAATGCCTCTTCCAAAATTTTGCATTTTACGGCTCCAGGGTCAGGGGTTCTGGTGGTAGGGCGGGGCTCTAATGATTATATAGTGAAAATATATTAATTCTTTGAAAATCTTCTCTGCTCCTTGGTATCAATCAGATGAACTAACTATATAGCTATGATGAGCAAAGGCTCTTCGTTTAAAATTGTGAATTTCAAGGCTCGTGGGTCAGGGGTACCAAAGGGGGGGGACTCTACTTATCTACTTAAAATGAATAAATTGTTTGAAATTTGCTCTATGGTATTAATCAAACATTTTTGATAAGCAGGGGTGTCTTTTCCAAAATAGTGAAATTTGTGAACCTAGTGTCCGGGGTTCATGTGTGGTAGGGGCACTACTGATTATTGCTAAATATAACTGATTAGTTGAAATGCATTTTTTGTTCCCCTACCCTGCCTATGGATATTAAGTAACCAAACTAAACAACTGATAAGTGTATTCCCCATTTTCAAAAGGTGAGTTATTTCCCCTGAAGGGAACTCTTTTACTGTGTTTAATACGCATGCGCTATAAATAAAGTCACTTCCGCGGACGTTCTTGATGTAAACATGTTCATGGTGTATGCCTCTGTCATATGGAAAAATGTTATTGTGTTTGTGAATAAAAAGAAATCTTAACTGATTCGTATTTTTTTTTAGATTGCCCACTCATAGTCTCTTTCTGGATTTGTATTAATCTTTGTAGTACTATAATAAGGTGCTGTGTGACCCCCCCCCCCCCTTACAAGAAAAAAAAAAGAAACAAATTACTGATAAAATGCTGATACATATTCAAATAGGCCTATTTAAAAAAAAAAAGCTAATTTTCGGTAGTGGATGTTCTGCAGACGGATCATCATTATTTACAAAATGTGCGGAACAAATTTTTAGTTATAAAGTTTTTACGAATTAATCTAGCCTGCTGCAGCCATATTTTCATTGTATCTCTAGGAATTTTTTGAAGACTGATGACATGTCCATCTACAGTTTTACCTCTGAAATTGTTTCATATACAGCAGTAGTTCGTCTTCCGCGACCGATAACAAGAAACTGCGTTTTTGCTCGGTTGTATGTCACAACATAGAACTTTTACTTACAAGAACACATTTGGTGACAATTAAAGGCCTATTTCATTTGAATTAACCGTGTTTCTAGAATTTTTTATTTGTAATATAATTGATTCACTATATAGTATTAAAACTTTGAATGGAATTCTAAATGAATAATTTAATCTCATGTGCTCATGTAACGAAGAAAGACTAATTAAAATAGCATCGACCTGAATTCGTGTTACATATGTCGTATAAAGTCTGAGCTGCATTTAATCAAAGTTTTAGTGTAGGATCTAAGCATATGTACATGTATATTCCCGAGTAAAATACACATTTTGTTTTAGATCAGAGAACTGAGAGCAGAAACACGAAATTGATACAATAATTTCCTAGCGTATTTCTCGTTAATTAACTGAAAACAATCTTTTCTCAAGTGTTATTTATTTTTTTTAAATCCTTTCAGTGTAAGTACATGTATTTATTTTTATAAGTTATTCTTTTTTTACAAAGTGTGTAAAAAACAATCAGAGAGAGAGAGAGAGAGAGAGAGACTCCGTGTAACTGACATACATGTACATCTGTGAAAAAATATATGTACCGTAATTTTATTGAATTCACAATTAAAAATTCTAATAATTTTTAATTTTCACAACTATGGCTCATATTCAACTGTTCAACCCATTTACATATTCTCTGTACCTGTACGCACGGAAAGGGGGGGGGCGGGGTCAAGGGGTTTAAGCCCCACCCCCACTTTTTTCCCAATATTACTTTTTCTATTGAAAATGTTCATTGATAGACAGCGGTTGCCAACCCCCCCCCCCCCCACACACACACACAGTTTATACTACGGTAAAGTTATATAAGGGAAATGTAGTATTGTATGCCAATGAACTGGTACTGAAATTAGTAGCTTTTTCAACTTTGGGCAAGGTTTTTCTTTGCTTGCCAACTTTTCCAGGTAAGAAAAAAATATTTCTTTGGCTACCCCCCCCCCCCCCCCCCCCCCGACTTTTGAAAACGATGCTACGTGCCTGGCTAATTCGTATAGCTTTCTAGAAAGGGGGGGGGCTAACAAACCCTTTATAAAATAATTTACTATCTAAAAAAAAATGCACACCGTTTCCTTCTTTTAAAATTTTTAAATACAGCGTGTAAGTTGATCACTATTTTGTTGGATTATCGTAACATGTAGTCCGCGGAAGTTATGCTAGTGTTGAAGAGTTCCGATTTTGAGGGGAGATAACTCACTTTTGAAAATGGGGAAATTATGATGAGCAATGGTGCCTCTTTCAAAATTGTGAATGCCATGGCGTCTAGTTTAAAACATGAACCAAATTTAATCATTGGAAAGTTGTAACATGATGCTCAGGTGACCTGAGCCCATGGGCTTCTTGTATATTGTTTAATGGACTTCTGAGCTTGAATACTGTTTGTTATCTCCGTATACATGCATGTCCTTTGGAATAGGGCGTGGCCTTTCATTTTCAACAAGAGACCCACAGGCCTTATAGGCCACCTGAGTATCATGTAACAACTTTCCAACAATTGAATTTTGTTTGTGTTTTAAACCAAAAACCTTGAAATTCACAATTTTAAGAGGCACCATTGTTTATCATATTTATTCACTTAGCATGCTTACCCAGAGGTAGATCAGAGTAACAGAGAAAATGCATTTCCACTATATATATAACCAACAGTTGAGGAAATTTGATCAATAATTTTATTTCATCATAAATGGTTGATTAATACGAAAGAGCAGATTTCAAATCATTAATTTATTTTCAGACTATGTACCCCCACCCCCAGTCCCCCACTCCAGTACCCCTGACCCACAGGCCCTGAAATTGACCATTTTGGAAGAGGCAGCTTTCTTCATCATAAATATGTACTTAGATCATTGGCAT